GGGAATTGGGACGAGCACTTACCTCTAGTAGAATTTTCCTACAACAATAGTTTTCACTCGAGCATCAAGATGGCAGCTTATCAAGCCTTGTATGGACAGAAGTGTCGTACGCCGTCTTGTTGTCTTGAAGCCAGAGAGAAGCAGTTTATGGGCCCCGAGATAGTCCATGAGACTGCTGAGAAATTGAAGGTGATTAGGGAAAGAATGTTAGCAGCTCAGGATCGTCAGAAGAGCTATGCTGACAAGAAAAGACGACCGATAACCTTCAAAGTTGGGGATTCCGTTTTGCTTAAAGTCTCACCATGGAACGGACTTATACGATTTGGGAAACGAGGAAAGTTGAGTCCTAGGTTTATTGGACCGTTCAAAGTTCTTCAGAAGATTGGGAACCAAGCTTACAAGAGGGAATTGCCCGAAGAACTCAATGGTATTCATAACACCTTCCATGTGTGCTATTTGAGGAAATTCATGGGAGATGCTCCCGACATAATTCCAATCTCAGAGTCAAGAATGGATGAGAATAAGAGGCTAATCGAAGAGCCCGAGGCAATTGTTGACCGTAAGACTAAGAAGCTACGATGCAAGATGGTCGACTTAGTGCTAGTCTGATGGAAACATTCGAATGGGCCAAATCTCACTTGGGAAACAAAGAGTGACATGATGAGTCGCTACCCTCATCTGCTTGCTGATGCATGATTCCGGGACGGAATCATCCTAAGGGGGAGAGAATTGTAACGCCCGGGTTTCGGGGCTAAGCATTTTTAGATGATGTAATAGTCTAGGTCAACTATTGTAACTCTTTTTGATGTAGTAAAGATGAAATATTCTAATTCTATGTGAATTATGTGTATTTGTGTGCATATTACTTTATTATAAATATATACTTAATAAAGAATAAAAATAAGCATCAAAATTAAAGTGTGAGATAAGCCCGATATCTCTACATAAAGTTGTAGTGGTCAAAACAAGGATTCGGAGGATATAAAGAACGCCAAAATCCGAGTTATAACGAAGAAGTTATAGCCCGTCGAAGTTTTACGGCAAAACCGACACGACACTGGGAGACGTAAATAGTGAATTTACGATGAAGGGATTTTTAGCCTTAGTGATCTAAACCAAAGTTGTAGTATATGTTAAACCGAGAACATCCATAAAAAGAACGCCCAAATCTGACTTCGTATGAGGAAGTTATGATTTTTCTAAGATTCGGCTTAGCAGTGCACGGCCGAAACTCGAATTTTAGTTCGAGCGGTTTTTGGCTTACACAACGTAAATGAGAGTTGAATATCTCATTAATAGGAAATCAACGGTAAAAAGACAGACAAAAACAGAGTCCGTATATAGAAGTTATGAATTTTACGCAGACGTTTAACAGTATAATCTCCTTGTACTGTTAAATTTATGATCGGTCGAGAATTAGCCGACGGAGTCAAAATGAAAGTTGTAGATATTATTATTACCTACACGTGGATATAAAGAACGTCAAAAATGGAGGTCGTATGTGAAAGTTACGGATTTTAGAAGTCGGAAGTGTGCTGTGCGAAAATGGGTGATGTGGCACAATCTTGGCCATTGCTTTCTCCCCAAGGCTTGCCACCAGATGGTGACATGTGGCACCAAGTTCAGCCACATTTCACCCTATAAATACCACCTCTCATACCCTCATTTTCTTCACACATTTCCCATTCTTTCTTCTCTTTACTCTCTCTCTCTCTCTCTCTAGAACCTCTTTCTAGCCCCGAAATTCCCCGAAAAGCCTAGGGAACCTCCCTAGCACGAGGCGGAAGCTCCAGAGTGCTCGACGGCTCTGAGAAGAAGAGCTTTTCGACTCGCGAATGTTGCTCCAAGCAAAGCCCGGTTTTCTATAAAACCCGCTGTAAGTGAGCTACGCCTACGCTATTTTTAATATAGTTTTTATTTAATTATAGTAACGTTATTAGGAACTTATAATAAATACTTGGGCTATTATTATGGGTTATATAAGTATTTTTTTGACACTTATATAATAATAATAATAGCTAGACTATTAATTAGTCTCGACGAATAATAAACTAAACTCTAGTGGTAATAATACTAGGTTTCGTCGAAGAAAATTATTTTTAAGAAGCGAAGCGCTGTCTGAGTTTGGAATTACCACCTTTTCAGGTGAGTGCATAGTTACTTTCATCTTACACATAGATATGAAGTATTTTATATATTATGTGCTATGTGTGCATATTATCTGTATACTTGTTATCTATGTTGGATGAATGTTTTTATACAAGTTTTAAATTATTTAAACTGTATATGTATTTTATATCTACAAAAATGTTGGGGTAAAACATGGGTAGATGTAATAAGACGATCTGTGATAAAATGATGAGAGGCCTCAATGTTGTTGTTGTTGATCCAGTCATCTAGTGGAGTATAGATGACGACCACGGACTCTTCTAGACAGTCCAGTGGAACACTAGCAGGCTCGCAACCTGTAGGTGTTTGTGAACGATGTGTTCACCGGTGTACTCCATCCCCCACATGGTTGCCTTTAGGACATTCATTGCTGAGGAACCCCCTTAGCGGTAGTGTCCGTCCCGATGATGATCCTTAGGATAGGTCCCTTATGATAGGTGTTTAGGGACGTAAAGTGAGGATAACGGGAACGGGTAATCGGGTTATTGTTGATTGATGAAATTAATAAACTTATTTATTGTGGATTGAAAGCCCTATGTGCTCACCAGGCTCCCAAGCCTGACCCACTCAGTTTTATGTATTACAGGTAGTGGCGCATGAGCATAGGTCTGTAGATATGAAATAATGTAGTAAGGCTTATATTGTACTGTTTATGCTTTTGATCTGTACGAACATGACATCCCAAGTCTTTTAATGAAATACATTTCTACGGAAATGATTTTGATAAATCTTTATCATATTTTTGTTTTGGGACAAATTCCGCTACACTTTCATTTAAAATGTAAGTCTTATTTTTTTTAAACAAAGCATAAACAAACTGGTCTTTTCTGGCCGTGATTTTGGGGATGTCACAGCTATGACCTGGCCCACTTTGTGACCAGGTTTAGGGCGGAGTTTGCGCCGGTGGTGGAGCTTCAGCAGCTGGCTAGAGAGTTCCTAGACATGAAACATATGACAGAGTCGGTGGCGGAGATTACCGCCAAGTTTTGGGAGAGAACCTTATTGGTGCCTCAGTATGTAGAAGATGATGAGATAAAGAGGACCCGCTATAATGACCTGTTGAGAGCTGATATTCGGGAGCATGTCAGCTTCTCGGCATGCCCGACCCTGGACTCTATGATTGTCAGGGTGCAGGAAAGGGAGATTTATTTGGAGCACATTGCGAAGAGGAGGTCGGATCAGATGTATACTTTGGAGGGTCCCAGGTGGAGACCCAAGACTTCAGATCA